AAATAAAAAAAAAAAAAAAGTAGAAGCAAAGAAGAGTTGTCTGTGCAGGCTATTTTTTTTTGTACAGGTGTTTTTATGGAGCTGGGATATCTTGCTGGCGCCGGGCACTCCCCCTCCCTTTGCTTGACACTCTCGTTGTGTCCGCATGTATAGTGTGCAGGGTTAAGAGGGGAAAATGTATGTGCCTTGCTCTCTTCTGTCTCAGCGCAAATCATCGCCTGTCCCCTCCCGTTTGTCGCGCCGAAGCCCCTCCTCGCCCCCCGCCGCCATGCACTTTACGCTTGGGCTGATGCGCACTGCTGCGCTGCCCTTGGGCGCCCTCGCATCCAGCCCCGGTATAGTGTTTTGCTGCCTCGAAGACATTTCCCAAGATCTTGTTGCAACACACCACCACATTGCAAACTGCACCAGAGCTGTAAACGCACACTGCGCCTGCTACCGTGACCTGCTTTCTTTTCTCTATCTTGTTCAGCGTCCGCAGCACGGTCCCGGGTCCTGTTTTTGAATCACAGCATTTGATCGCACTCGGCTTGGCTCGGCTCGCATACAAGAATGCGCTGCATACTCGCGCTGGTTCACTTGCTCATCCCCCCGACTGCCAACAAACGTGAACATTTCTCTCAACCGCGCCTCACATCCAACTCTAAAGTATTCCGTCTCAATTCGCTAAAGCCCTTCTAATGGCACTCGGCGACAAACTGCGGGCGCTATTCGCGCGTCGCCGCCAGCCTAGGACAGTCATTTCGATGCATCGTGAACGCCAGGTTGCCGTATTTAGCATTCTCTTATTATTGCTTGTAGGTCTCCCACTCTGGTGGACCACGACTCGCGTTTACCGTGCCGACCTACCCGCTGACAAGGTCAACCACTTTGTACCCGAGAATGCACTTGAGATTCCTCTTATATTCTATATTGACACTGAACATCTGCTGTCTACTGAAAAGGTGCAGTTGATCCAGGCAAATACACAGGCCCTTGTTGACGCGGAGCGTGTTTCCTTTGCTGCTGGTGAGTGGCGCGTTCGGTATCTGGTTGATGTGCGAGCGGGAACCGCACCTGATGCCCCAGGCCACTACACGCTTTCTCTGCGCGCAGACGCTGCTACTACAGCCACTTCTATCAATATTGGGTCTGATAGATCAGCTACTATTTCGGTAACTCGATCGATAATGGCGGAAGACATTCTTCCAAAACTCATTTCTTTGATTGTCGTGAATGAGGAGCAAGCCGTACGCGATGACGTGCCAAAGGCACGGAAGAAGAGTCAGAGTAGCCACTCTGCGGTCAACTACGCACCTGAATACGCACTTACCCTTACGCTCCTCAATGAGGATCCTGTAAATGGCGCTGTGGTGGACTGGGACATTGAACAAGCAGTGGATGTCTATCTGAAGCCGTTTGTTGATAAGATCAGCTCACTTACAAAGCTCTCGCTGTCATCCCAGGTACTGCATCATGCAGGGCCACCACCTGTGGTGCCGTTACGTGCCAATAACCAGTCGTACCTGACTCCCGAGATGCTTCCACACTTTGTCAATTCGCCCTCGTGGAATTTTGCTTCGATTGACCCCATATCGCCAATGCTAAACTTTATTCTTTTTGTGCCGGCTCTGGCCTCCCAACCCATGCATATTGCAGACGAGAAGGGAGACACACAGGGAACTGAGGCTTTCCTGGTCTCTCAGTGGGGTGGTGTTGCTATTGCCAATTTACCCGACACAACTAGACCCGGAGACAAAGTGAAGTTATCTCAGGCTAATATGCAAAAGTACATTGGCTACTATATTTCTCAGCTGCGCCGGCTGATTGGTATTCGTAATGGCACGCCTCTTTCTACACACAATTCTCATACACACAAGAGCACCATATCTCGGATAGATACACATCTGGCAACAGAAACCGGTATAAGCGATTGGGAATTTGATGCACTTTTACGCCAATGGCTTATCCACAACCGTCGGACAGCGATCACAACATTGCAGTCGCTTGTGCGGCTTGTCAACTCTTTACAGAATATGGTGGTAATGGATGAAATTAAAGCCCAAGTCGATAAGTCACTTGACGCTCTTTATAAAGCTGAGCAGGCATTGACTGATGTCTTAACATCGAATTCCTCTAGGTTCCACCATTGTTATCAAGATGCATTTGAAAGTGCCGCCGCCGCCGCAGCCTTAGCCGAAGCAGCATTTTTTGATCCGTCTATGGTGTCAATGTTGTACTTCCCGGATCAGCATAAGTATGCAATCTACATGCCATTTTTCCTTCCTGTGGCTATACCAGTCCTTGCAGCCATAAAGCGGATTATTTCTGAGAGGAGGCGCAACAGCGCTATTGTCGCTGATGCGAATGCAGCCGACCATGTGGCAAAGAAATCCAATTAGTCTATTTAACAAGTTTTATCTTTGGCATTATCTCATGGGCTACGATTGTTGTATAAGAATGCAGCATTACTTACGCTAGCAATCCTCTTGAATATACGCTTTTGCATATATATATATATATTTTGCGAACGCGTAAGCACAATCAAGTGGCTGCAATGTAAATAAATATGTTGTTATTTAATGTGCTGCATGCATTTTCTGGATTTTAGGTATAAAATTGCAACTGTTGGCTTTACTATAATATGCCTATATGTGAGATATTAAAGTACGGATTTCATTTTTTGACAATATAAAGTTAAATAAATTAGAAATGTTGGCAAGATCTCAAAACAAACTAATACAAACATTATAAGTTTAATGACGATTCACACCATGCATCCAATTAGATATACACACTTTTGAGCATTAGTGTCAAAATAACCTATACATCCACTACATAGGCATACATTTGTTTATGTGTCGCATTATTATATAATTTGCCTAAGCTTAAATGGATCATCAGCAGCGCCAATTGTGTTGATTGACTGGCTTGAATGGCGACGTAAGTGGGCTTTATGTTTTTCGTATAAAGTAGGTGCTTTTCGGGATACCGATACAGTGCGGCCCAGGCTTACCTCCATGGAAGGCATAGCCAGATATTCACCCAGGTCACTCCTGTCGTTAACAGCACTGCGAATGGCAGCATTGCCATGTCGGTTGCTACTGATTGGGCATTCTTTTGGTGCGCGATAGAGTGGAAAGTTTGTGTGCAGATTGAAGTTTTCCCCACAGATAACCTGCAATCCATCAGTCCGTAATCGCAGAAGCCAGTCACGCTCATATTCTCGAGGTCGTAGGACACTCATAATAACTGGATGCGCCATAATTAGTAGAATGATGCCGTTAATAATTGCAGCGTCTCCCAGTGTCTCTGCCATGCGGTAGCCACGGATTAGTGAATATTTGAGATGTGTGTAGTGTACGACGTTTGTTTTGATCATTGCAGCAATACCCAATGCAGTGATGCACAGAAACTCGTAAAACTCATTAAAAGTTGATTGAATCTTGCGCAGACGGAGCATTAAAATCAGAATTATAATCCAGTTAAGCCACAACACACCCAAGGTAACATAGACATATCCTTTAGTTGTACTGCATAGCTCAAGCTCTGCAATGTAGCTGATAGTCAATCGTGAAGACATTGCCTGTGTAATAATAGAGTAGACAATCACAAACCCCAGCAGAAAGCCAATGGGCATGTAGTACTTCCATCCGCGTGTCGACTTGTTCTGAATGAACACGCGATCCAGCGCGTAGCAACGGATGATAATGGCAGCAGTGTATACAAAACAAAACAGCACACGCACCCAGCCGCTCTTTAATAGCATGTGACCATTCATAGGAATGTCACCAAGGAACCACAATACTCCAGCAATAAACATGGCGGTAGTCAGCAGCAAGTTTTTTGCACGGATCGGACAAAAGCTATGGTCAATCCAAGCAACAATCATAAAGAGAAGTGTGACTCCAAACATTGTGCTACCAGTAGCAATAACAGCTGTGTCCACACTGCCCACAGGGCTGATGTGCATTCCAAACAGTTTCTCAAGGTACTACAGTGGTTTAGGATAAAATTTGATGGTAGATGCAAATAGGAGAGTAAGTACACGGATAATGCTAATGCTGAATATTCAATCACTCTGTTTAGCAGTATTACATCAATAGCTACCTGTATTCGCTGTTTCTCACTCTCAAACTGGCTAGAGTGAGAGCTACACAAAGTATTACTCATTATCACACCCTTGTTTGACAAAAGTCAACTTTAGGTAACTTGCGACAAGCAGCAGGAGATTAAATACAGAGCTATGCAAACTGTTTGCGCACAAATAGACACGCTAGTGAAATATTAAAATAGAAAGTAGATAATAATAATAAACGTGGCCACTGATAACATTGGTAAAACTAGTTCTAATGACGACGGCAGAAAAACACTTGTTGTTAGATGGTGTAGATAGCAGCATAATCCGACACAAGTTGGTTTGAAAAGCCCGTGCATTGGAAATCCCAACACAAAGGCGGCAAACGTAGCAGCTGTATGAAAGATGCAATAGAAAATGGCAGTGTGGTATGTGTTGCTGGCTGGCAAGCAGCTCAGCAAAAACTTGTCTGCAGCCGGAAAAGCAGTACAGGTTGCAGCGTATGCAACCAAATGGGATGGATGGCAGTTGTGCATATCTGGAAGCTGATGGCCATTTGCAGTCATGCAGTTCATGCCCTAACCATGTCCAGAAAATAATGCTGATAAGCGTGTTGATTCTAAAACAGTATTGTTATTTTAAGAAACTGCTGCGCATCAATATGCTGTGTGTAATAAATGATAGCAAAGACTGGTGTTTGGTTGTACCAGGTTTGATGCCGATTCTTGCCTTTGCGTATACAAACAACAAAACGAAACACTTTTCTTTTGCGCGCATAAAAAACGTATGTGAAAACCCACAGTTGCAAGCACTTGCTGTATCGTTTACACAAGTTTGTCTAAAACAAAATGCGCAGTAAATATGCAAAATAGATTAGTATTAATGGGTTATCTACATTGCTTAAGTTTAGTTTTCAGAAAATGACGATTCGGATTTTCAAGCAGCCTTCTTAGCTCAGTTGGTAGAGCGCATGCCTAGTAAGCATGAGGTCGTCAGTTCGATTCTGGCAGAAGGCATTTTTTTACACTTTTGTTCTGCATAGTTTATGTAGATGACACTGTTTTTTGCACTTCCTATAGCCAAATGGCTTCTCCGAGGGAGTGGCTTATAAAATCGTTTTCTCTGTCTGTCTGTCTGTCTGTCCGAGATCAGATCCACTAATTATAATTATATGCAGAGCCAATAAAAGAGTTTTTTAAACAAAACTACTGCACTATTATTCCTGACTCGGCTCAGCTTATGCCATAAATTTCTGTTATAGTTTTCCAATTTTCGTAGAGTATTCTTTGAAGAAATAATAAACTTAAAAAAAACAACGAGCTACACTTAATAATAAACCTTTGTCCTGAGTTACAGAAACATCATCTCTGCCATTAGATTAAACACTATGCCATGTGAGGGAAAATAAAACCCTGCCCTGAGCGGCAGGCAGCAACGCCGCCATCGCGAAATAGGGCAGGAAAAACATCCCCACTGTGAGATTAAGCACTGTATACCGGGGAGTGCTCCATTGGCCATGCCTTCAGCATGGCCAATGAACCGGACCCGGCGCCGAAGGTGCACGGGAGAGGGTTTTTTTTTTATGTAGCAATATTTAGCTTTCCATCCAAAGAAATCATTGACTGTGTTTTAAATATTTTGCTTTTTTCTTTATTTCTACAATGTTGCTTTGCATATAATTATTCCTTGATTGCAGTGTTACATTCCAGTCATCGCTTCCCTTGTTCCTATCAACTGCTCTGCTTTGTTACAATGACTACGCGTCATCATTTAATTTTATTGCGGCTATCGTAACACATGTCACAGGATGCATTTTTTTTTTTTAAAAAATAATGCGATGTCTCAGTCAAGGGCAAGAGAAGTTTGCTTATATAAATAAAACTACGGCACCTTCCTTTCGCATGTTGCAACTTTTCACTGACAACTTTTCTTGCAGCTTTGGGTTTTTTTTTGCAGTTCTACTTTTATTTCTCAAGTACAGGGTTTTCTATATACAAGTTTACATTTTAACGTGTAATGTCGGAAGAAATACCTGAGTATATTTCTAGAGATTTTATTTTATTGCCTTATTTATCAGCTGCGGAGGGAAATAATGGTTATGAGTCTGATGAAATTTCTGAGTTAGAATTCGACAGTTGTGGTATGGTTCCTCCAATAATGGAGCAAGGTCAGATACATATACACTTTGTTTTTAAAAAAAGAACAATAAGATGTCAAACCTGTAAAGGTACTGATTCCATTGCTAAGGCATTTAAAGAAAAACTCGGTGTACCTTTTGACTCAGATATTAGCTACAGAGCTGTCAATAGCAAATTATGCCTAGTATCGGTTGTTTTTAACGACTTGCAAGCATATGGGGGTATTTATTATGTGCAGTTAAGTGAAGATGACCATAAAAAATTTCAGAATCAGGAATTGAAGGAACAAGATTAATATTTCTGCCATATGTTTTGTTTAAAAAGACTTCAATTATCTTTTATATTATTTTTTAAATCTGGCTCATAACAATAAAGTATAAAATTTCAGCTACTAAGTTAGATTGGATCGCTGGCATAGCATCTAACAGGTTCTTGCTATATGATGTGGAAAGAGTTGTGCATTAAATCAAAAAGTTTACGTTAGCAATAGCCTTTTTGCTGTTTTGTCAATAAATGATCAATGCTTTAACCTTTGAGCCAAAAAAAAAAAAAAGTTATTCAAAGAAAACCCTTAGCCATTGCAAGCGATTTACGACTAAAAGGGGCTATAGTATGGCGAAGAAAGTTGTAATTAAAACTGAAGAAATAAAACTAAAAAAATATAATTCTTTTAGGCGGTAGCAGCCTGGGCAGAGGTAGCAGACTCATCAATAACAGACTGAGAAGCTGGAAGACCAGCTGCCTTTGAAGCACGAACGCTGTCAACAAACTCTGCAAAGAGATAACCAGTGTCCAGAGGGCCGCCCTTTGCCTCAGGATGGAACTGAACTGAGCGGAAGGGCTTTTCGACGTGGCGAATGCCCTCGTTCGAGCCGTCATTGGCATTAACATAGTAGCGATCCCAGCCCGCAGGCATCTGGGCATCGTCCAAAGCATACCCATGGTTCTGCGATGTAATCACACATTTGCCTGTAGTCAGGTCAACAGCAGGTTGATTGTGGCCACGATTGCCAAAGCGCAGCTTGTAAGCGTTGAGACCAGCAGCCAGACCCATCAACTGGTTGCCCATGCAGATGCCAAAGATCGGGCGCTGATACACCTCAAAGGCCTGACGCAGCTGCGCAATAGTCTCAGTGCAGTGGGTAGGCGAGCCAGGACCATTCGATATAAAAATACCATCATAGGACGCAAGATTGTCAACCAGATTGTGGTTCCAAGGAACCAGCGACACGCGCGCGCCCTGCTCGCAAAGTGAGCGGATAATATTGTATTTGACTCCGCAGTCGATCAGCGCGATATGAACGTCGCCATCAGGGTTAAACACACGTACAGAATCAGTGGACGCCTGAGCTACCAGATTCTTAGCATTGGGATCGACCCACTGAATCTTTGATTCCTCTAGAGGCTGCGAACCGGCGCTAAGGGAGCCTAACGTAGAACCCTGTCCACGCAGAATGTGCACCAGTGCGCGGGTATCAACCCCCGTAATAGCAGGCACGCCCTCGCGCTCACACCATTCCGAGAGAGATTCTACTGCATTCCAATGTGAGTACTTTGTAGCATAATCGCTCACTACAATGCCGCTGCATTGAATCTTCTCGGATTCAAAGTGCTTGAGCAAACCATATTGATCGCGTGTGCGCTTAGGTACGCCATAGTTGCCAATCAAAGGCTGTGTGAACACTAGTAGCTGTCCGCGATAAGACGGATCGGTCATTGACTCCGGGTAGCCAACCAGTGACGTGGTAAACACTGTCTCACCAATGGACGAGGAGGTAGCCCCAAATGAGCCGCCCGTAAAAGTTTCGCCCGTACGCAGTTGCAGATGGGCAGTCAACGAACCAGGAACTACCGGGTAATAAGCGTGCAGCGGTTTCGTTGAGGCATTGTCTTTAACAGAAGCAAACGAGCGTGCAAGCAGTGCCATGGGACTGTTCATGCGCCTCTTGATCGCGCTGTAGGCGGCATTGTTGCTTGCAGACATGGTAGTTAAAAAGGACATTGTCGAAAAAAATAAACTTTGGAAGAATATAATAAAAGAGAGTGAGTTTTAGAAGCAAAGGATAGTGAAACCCCAATAACTAGGCCAGTTTAAGTGCAAAGTAAAAAAAATAGATAGAGAACCGCTATGCGCTATAAAACAAGATATCTAAATGTCCAATGCCTTCCAAACCTGGTCGGCAATATAGTCAGATGAGTTCCTTTCAAACGAGTGTGTGTACATGTACTAGCGAGCAGAAAAACTCTACCAAAAAGGTCGTTCACTAGGAGAGAAAGACGTGATGGTCTGACAGAATTGTGCTTGTGTGAAGAGTAGAGAATAGAGAAACAGAAAGCTGCGTTCGAGACGCCCGCTCTGCTCTCGCATTTTATGCAACTGTCACAGGCGCATAGTTGTTGTGTTGGGGAAAGACGGGCAAACAAGCATAGCAAAAAAAAAAAAAAAAAAATTTCTATTGTGCCGCGGAGGATAGGCAGCCCGTGCCATTGGCTGCGCGGTACATGTGAGTCAACAGGGCAATCTGAGCATGGCAATGCGGCTCACACGCGGTTCGCCCGCAAGCTCCATGCTAGCTGCCAACATATTGCTGTAGAGTTCGCCCCTGATCCAGTGGGTGCCAATGACGCAGCAGGACAGTAGGCACGGTGGACCCCTTGTCAGCTGAGCGTGCTTAAGATAACGGCGCAGCAGATTATGCGCGAGCAGTAGCAGTCGCAGAGCCGTTGGCAAGGGATGTGCCACGGCAGAAATAGCGCTGTAGCAATGGCCGCAGCCGCAACGAGATGTCGTCATCCCACTGTTGACGTACGTCCTCGGACCAGCGGCAGCGCATAGAGATAACCAGCTTCTCAAGCGTTGTCATGACCTCGCTGCGTTTAAAGCGCTTAGCGAGGTCGGTGCGGTGAACCATGTCCGCATGCATCTCGATGAGCCGCGTCATCGAATCTATCAGGTCAGCCGGAATCTTATCCTGACCAGTGACCTCATATGCCATATGGTATGGCACGTTGTCAACAGCGCTATCATCATTGTCATCGCCGTCGCTGCCGTCTCCGCCCTTTCGTGGCATCACGTAAAAAACGCTGATGTCACTGACCCCGTATGGACCAGCGCCGCCAGGTGGGGATACAATGACACCAATAAAAGGCTCAAGCTGGTCGCTGCTGCGACGACAAAGCATCTGGTAGGCATGCTGGTTGTGGATATCACGCACGGATGGAGTAGCCTCAAAGGTCGGGTGCGAGTGGAACCAACCAAGGGCCTGGCGACCGCTGCCACTGAAGACCCTGCGAGCCTCAACTTCAGAGGCCGGGTCCATCTCGCACTCGGTGGTGGTGCTGGTGCTGTGGCATGGAAATGCCACCTCGACCTCGATGACCCGCTGCTCGTCGTGAAACTGGCCACCGAGCAAACCGATAATCTCTGTGTACATCAGGTGAGCGTGGAGATCCATCAGCACCAGTGCCGCAGCCGATATCCGAACAGCAAACGGTGGCTTTGGCGCAGCAGGCGAAGCTCCAAAGGTCTGACATGGAATCAGCCGGAACTCGCTGTTGCTGTTGTGCATCCACTTTGACATGCCCGAGCGAGCGCCATTCTTCCGCCGCTTGCTGCGCCGGCGCCCACCGTCGCCGTCGCTACTGGATCCTGAATAACTGTAGTCCTCGTCATCCGCATGGCGCTCAATCACACTGTGAGCAATCACGCGTCCGCCGTGGTACTCGTCCTCATAGACCCAGCTACCATCCTCATCTCGAACCTTACGCCGACGGCCTGTTGTAGACCAGGGTACGCCACGGGGGCTAAAGTCGTCGTCCGAGCTCATAAACTGGTCGGCGTCGTCGCTCTCAGACAGCGCATTGCTCAGATGCGCGCT